CACACACAGCCATGTGTTTTTCTCCGTTTCCATGGAGTTAATCAGGGCCATGTTACTCCCCTCACTCCACCCACCAACGACGTTGAAGTCCGATAAGGATGCTGTTAGATTAAAGGAATAGAGGCAGGCAGATGTTTATTTCAGCTCATGTACCAGAGAAATGGAATAAAATGCATCGAAAGTGAAAGAAATGACCCAATGGGGAGTATAAATGGTCTGTCACCATGACCTTTCGGTCAACTTTCGGTGAACACAGAAACCCAACCACCATCTGATTTCTATGGGGAAAACTCTGATCTCAACATGGCAAGATAATAGATAACAGAAATAATAGAAACGACAGTTAACACCATAAGACACTCCCAGGGATCAGAGAGCTCAGCTCAGAGGGCTGCCTCGCTCAGCTCAGAGGGCTGCCTCGCTCAGCTCAGAGGGCTCCCTGGTTCAGCTCAGAGGGCTGCCTCACTCAGCTTAGAGGGCTCCCTGGTTCAGCTCAGAGGGCTGCCTCGCTCAGCTCAGAGGGCTGCCTCNGTTCAGCTCAGAGGGCTGCCTCACTCAGCTTAGAGGGCTCCCTGGTTCAGCTCAGAGGGCTGCCTCGCTCAGCTCAGAGGGCTGCCTCACTCAGCACTGCCCCATTTGAACTGCACAGCATGTAGTGCCCAGTGCATATAAATAAAGCTCCTGCCCTGACATTCTGCTGCAGCTGCTCCTCACACGACGCAGACAAACAAAATAATTCTTCAGCCAAATAACCATCTGTGAAGCAGCCGATTAGGCACTTAGCAGAACCCATATAAGACCCTCCGGACGCACAGGATCTTGAGGGTTCTGCTGTGCATCTGGTATACCTTCTCCATCATTAAAATGTGCACATGACACTGTTCAGGAGATTCGTTGTAGTATTTAGAGCCTTACTGGAGATCAGAACATCCCATCGCAGGTTAATTTGCTTGGCTATTCAACCGCAAGACGTCTCGAAATGCTTGAAAACGTGAAGCAAAGTGATTTTTAACGTGTCCCGGGGGCACTGGCCTGAGCTGGAGTGAATAACCCCCCCTGTGACTTACTGCCCCCCCCCCCCCAGGTGTGTACGGGGTGACACACTGCTGTATTTTAATTGGCTCATCTTCCTCTTTTTTCAGCTGAACCAGACTCAGAAAGCTGTCGTAACTCACACTTTGGGAATCCCTCTACCCCCCCCCAAAAAACACGTTGTTTCCTGCAGTGTGTGTCAGCTAAGATTTAATTCTGAGGTGAGTGCAAATACATTGTTTCTAACAAATATCTTTCAAACTTTTTGACATAGATGCTATTTCTTAAGTTGTGCATTTCTCAACCATATATTATGATCATATATCATTATCTGAATACGTTGCTTTCCATAGTAACAAATCATTTCACAAATTGTAAATGACTCTTATTGGCTTTAGAAGTGTCTGTATTTGTTTTGGATGTTTATATGCAGGCCTAAAAGACAGTGCAGGCCTAAAAGACAGTGCAGGCCTAAAAGACAGTCATTCTATCTACCTTATCAGGACTGAGCAAACCAGGATAATTATAAAACATGCCGGTTTCTCTTAAGTTGAGCAGCTGCCTGTTCTGTAGTGGAAATTTATGCTGGGCCTGGACTAATGTATTCACCACAGAGCTGATCTTTCCTCTACACTGGGGATTATTTCACGATAATCTGCATTCATCAAAACCATCCGTCACAGTCCCTCTCGGCAGTGGCTGAAGGGTGACCAGGGGATGTTTCCCATTTCCTTGGCAGAGATTTAAGGCGACTGTGACATCTTAATTTCCATCAAAAAGTAGTTTATTATAATCTCTTCTTGAAATGCACTTCAATGCATAAAATTGCCTTTTAGAGGATGTTTATCCAAACATCAGGTTGGTATATCACCTCAATCTGTTTATCGATATATGATTTACGATGAGGTTATGCACCCTACTGGACCTCAGCTGGGCGGCTGTACGGATGTTACGGGAAAGCCGTGAAATGTGCACGCATCATAATGGCTAATACTCATGGTTTTAGTGAGTGGATTTCGCTATGTCCATCTTTCGTATTAGTCATTTATGGCAAGCAGTTCTTCCTGTCAAAATGAATCGGCAGCTGTACGAAATATGAAAGGAAAAAAAAGCTCTCACTTATTATAAGTAATGCACTGTCCATTTCAAAGTGAGTTCACCAAATGAGCAATCGGAGTATGGTGGTCTTTCATCGCTACAGTGGACAACTCATTGATTTACTCGCGTCGCTCCTAAGGCACGTTGTTTTTCGGAATATTCAATTTGGAGATTACAAGCTGACACTCATACATATTTCAATAGACCGGACTGTAAATATATCTGGAAAATAATGCATAGTAAAAATACCATTTCAATTTTCCTCCTTGTAATGTCTTTATTACTGATGTTACTTTTGTATATAATAACGCCTGACAGCAAGGGTAATAAGTAATTATTTAAAACATCAATAATACTCCTTTTTTCCACCTGGTTAATGTCAGAAATGGAAAATGACAAAAACACAGAAGAAACTCATTTTATTTTAAGCTCTTAAACTTCAGAAAGTGACAAGTACAGATCAAAAGTCGTCTTACCGTTTTCTGTAAACCCCGAATGTAACTGCAAGTGAGAAAATGGAACCTTTAATTGGTGTGCTGGTGGGAGTCTCTTTCCTGATGGGCCTTTGCTGGGCTACAGGCCTGCAGCGCTGCCAAAGAGGAATGAAGGCAAAGCTGCTGCGGACATCACAAATAAAGGCTTTTAGAAAACACAGAAGACGCTCGCGGGAGGGTCAAGGCCTTCATTCTACATATTGTCAGGTTTTATTAAAATAAATGTGATATAAGTTACACACAGGGACAATTCTGGGATTTGATTGAGCCCCTTGTAGGGTCGCCATTTTCAATCTGAAAAAATAGCAGACACCAGCCTTCCTGGGTCTCTGATAACCAAATTTGCCACCCGGGGGAGTGGGGGAGACAAATCAGCAAGTGGATTACAATTTTTTTTTCAAGGGGGTGAGACAAAATAATGGGGAGACTGAAACCCCCCCCCCCCCAAATAGGATTTAGAATTGACTATAGTTATATAATATGACTACAAGCCATACAGCACACAGAATTAAAGTGGCTAATAATTTTTTTGTCGAGTTATCATTCATTCAGGTATTTTCAGAGGCTGTAGGCGGACAAAAAAACTATTTGTTTGCAGTTTTGTGTTACACCCACAATGCAGGAACTGCCGGAATGAAAGCAGAGGCAGTGTGGAAAAGGGATTTCATTTGATTGAGCTTTCATATTCATGTAACCCTCAGTGTCTCATGTGTGCAGCTCCTGTAAACAGTCAGCTGAAGGGGCCCCGTGAGTGTGACAGAAAAGCGTCCTTCAGCAAACCAGGCTGCGGTACCATGAGTATCAGCACCTCAGAAATGTGTGATTATGGAGACAAATCGTGACTTCAGCACCACATCTGCGACCTTCTCAGACAATGCTAAATTAGCTTCTATCACACAGACGTTACAAAGACCTCAGAAGCTAACATTCATACTTTCAGTGTGATATCTTCAGTGCATAACTCCATCCATCAAACCATCCACTTTCCATATCTGCTCGTCCTATGCACGATCTCGGGGGTCCGGAGCCAATTCCGGAAACTACCAATGCTATCATGTCCACAGTTTTACAGTATATAGCAAAATGCAATTGCAGTGAAGAAGGCCTTTGCGGATAATTCTGGAGTTCTTAAAGCAGATTAGACAGCCACTAAACTAAGATATCCTCCGCCTCCTTACTTAGAAACACTCTCATAACTAAGGGCACCGCCGCTTACGGATAAATGTCACCAGCATTAGTGCAGACACAGTTTTTGCCACATTTTTGAAAGCAGATCAGTGTGCTGTAACCGTTGGTTGCCTGTAGACTAATTCTGTCTGCATGCTGCACTTGCAGAGCCAAGCTTCAGCCCACTACAACGGAACTAAGCATGCGAAGAGGCTGAAAGCGCTGGGGGCCCTGAACAATGTGATGGTCTCCAATGAATCCACAAAGGGCAGCCAGCCTACGCTGCCCCCTACAGGCCCTGAAACAGCAGGTCAGGTTGTTGGGGGTTTTCCTTCCGCAGATGTGCCCCTCTGTTACCCTCCCTCTCTCTCAGTTTGGCTGATTTCTGCTCACACCTGCCATGGGTCTGTCTATCCAAACCAGATCACGTATCAAGTCTTCTTCCCAGAGAGTGCGTTCTTTCACATTCAATTTCAGTTTGCCTGGGCTTGACTGTGGATAAGGGAACTATGTTGATCTATTGAAATGTTTTGACTTAAAGGTGACCTACATGCTCGAGAGCCAATGTTCATATTTCAGTGGTAGAACCGTCGCGGAAAAGGGAACGTTATGCTAGTTAAAGAGTTACAGAGGATTAGATGTCAGTGAACCAGCTTGCTGTGTTTTTCACTCCAGCCCAGTTCAGTAGGAAACATCCCCAGATAAAAGCCACTGAGGAAGCGAGACGGCAGCATAATCAGCCGTGTAGCTACAGCCATCCGAATAAGCAGGAACCAGCTGTGTAGCTACAGCCATCCGAATAGGCAGGAACCAGCTGTGTAGCTACAGCCATCCGAATAGGCAGGAACCAGCTGTGTGAGCCTCAGGCATCCGAATAGGCAGGAACCAGCTGTGTGAGCCTCAGACATCCGAATAGGCAGGAACCAGCTGTGTGAGCCTCAGCCATCCGAATAGGCAGGAACCAGCCGTGTGAGCCTCAGACATCCGAATAGGCAGGAACCAGCCGTGTGAGCCTCAGACATCAATCCTGCCAAAGACAGTGAAAGACCACATGACATGAAAATTATATTGTAAACAAGACTGATTTTTGCAAATAAACAATTTAATTACATTTTTATGTTTGTGGCAAAAAAGACAGTTTCCATTATAGGAAAAGATATTAATTAAAATCCTTAATTGCTTTTATGTTGCATGGCATTGCATTATTGTAGTGTCATTTACAAAGAAACTCTGGGCAATAGAAAAATCCATTGGGTTTGTTTATGAACATCAGCATTTTGGATGGAGAACTAAGGAGATTTATACACTTGGAATATGAAAGGATAAAACTAATAAAATAACAACAAAAGCATAACTTCAGAGAGCTGAATCACTGTCTAATTTTCACAGTAGTGATACATCATTGAACTTAATTATTTGAATAAAAGTGCTAAATTTTCTAATGCTGATAAGGGAGTAGGAGAGTCTCAAGGACTTTGATTACATGGTAGAAAAAGAGGTAGAAAGTATGGAAGAGTTTTATAAATGGATTCTTCTCTGATCCTGACTTTTATCAGAAGTAAGTGGTGAACCGTGTCTGAAAGGAAAGTGTTGTCAAGCCTTACATGACGAAAATAGAGTCTGGTGCAGTGAAACATCTAATCAGGAAGGGCTGTTAGCTGAACAGGAAACAGCTCTCCCCAGTTCTGTGGAGAGATACCACTGCTGCAGACAGGTCTCCTTATGTTGTCATGAACACCTTATTGTGTCTGTAGATTGGAGGGGATGTTAATGTGCGGCCCCTTAACAGTGATACAAAAGCAAAACAGTCTTGCAAGACATGTCTCAGAAAGGGAGGAGCATGATTGATTGGGACATTCATGCATCATGCTGGTTGTCCTTTGGCATGTTTGCCTCTGATTGCCTCTGATTGCCTCTGATTGCTTCATGTTGCCATTTATTAGCAGGTATGTCAAGGTGAACAGCTCCTACAAATTGCAAAAATAGGCAGCAAATTTCTTCCATATTGCTCTTAGCCAGGATTCCTATTCAATGAGCTGCACAGCCTTCTAGAATGAGCATTCTCTTCACTGTGAATCCCCAAACAATGAATAATCGTATCACAAATATAGTAATTGCTTGTGATATAGGATGTCACAATTCATTAATGATGAACGAACTTGTGATCAGTAAGTAGCTTAGTTTGTGGTTAATTAATACATAAGCAATGACAAAATACTACAGTTGTTTGTGCCAAGTGAAGTTTTACTTAATGCGTTTGTAATTTGGCACCTTTTCCACCTTATAGTAAAAAGCCTCGAAGCAATGAAGTAATACATGTCAAACTTTCTCAAATTTTAGATTCTTGAGAATAACCCCCCTTCTGCTACGATGACAGCATTACAGACTATTTGCATTCTTTCAATCAGCTTGCAGATGTAGCCACCTGGAACGCTTCTCCAACAGTCCCGAAGGTGTTTCCACAAGTTCTGGGCACAAGTTGCCTACCTTGCTCTTATTCTTCAATACAACTCTAACTCTTTCCTTGTTCATAATAATACAGATACAGTAATAATAATACAGTAATACAAGATAATACCGTACCTACATGACCTCCAGGTGTGCTTAGGCTTCTTCTCTTGTTGGAAATGATTGAATGATTTCAGAAGACTTTTCACTGGTTACATTCCACTGTTATATACTTTGTAAATATATCACTATCAAAAAAAAGCAATAAGTGTCTTCTTGTGGACTGACGGAATTCTCTACCCAATCTGATGAAATGTTACACTTGAGAGAAGACCCAGAAATCGCTTGCAGCGTGGTTGCTGTCCTACCATGGTGAGCGACTCTAATTGGCTGGACATCCTGCATCATGCTGCCCCAAGAAAAAATTGTTGTTAGAGTTTGTTCAGCTGCTTAGGATATTCAGTAGAGCAGACCAGTGGACCAGTGGACCAGGACCCAGACAACTGGGACTCAGCGCTTGGCATTCAGATGCTATACAGAAAGCTGTGGCATATGGGGCATGACCCTGAAACTCAAAGCGCCACAGTTTTTACCAGGAGCTAAAGAACAAAGTGTCTGCCTTCTTTACACAAAAAACATGCATTGGCTTGGCAGTCACTGAAATTTAATAAATATATGCAAGGACATTTGGGTTGCGTGAACTTATGCATTGTATACAGGGGGAATATATCAAGTTACGGAATTCAGATAAAATATTGTGGCAAACCCAAGAAATCATAAGCTCTTGTATTTCTGGTGATTTTCTCAGTCAAAGGTGATTCCCCCCCCACCCCCCCCTGAAAAAAGGGCTCCTCCTGTCAGGTGCCGGGCACTGAAACAAAGAGGCAATCTGTGATTACAGCTAATCACAGCATGCAAATCTGTCAACTGACTGGGTTCATTTGCACTCTAATGAGATGCTGTCATAGAGGACATTAATAAGGGAATGGATTATACTTGGGAGAGTTTTTATTTTTTCTAATCCATTTGACACACTGCAAGATTTGGTTTATTGTCGATCAATTATGAGGGCTTAATGACTTTAGTGTAAGTAACCTGTACAAATATCCAGATATGAGATTTGCATGCATCGATTTCAAGTATATAGAAATCCCTCCCCAGGCATATTGAGTTCAGGAAGGTTGGTGCGGGACCATCTACAGCAGTTTTCTCATTTGAAAATATCGCCCCCACCCCAACACCCTGGCAAATATTTTATCTAAATTCAGGAATAGCATTGCTTTTTAAAATACCATCAAAATACCATATATTGTGCCATAATGTCAGAGGCGTGAGGGTCACTGAAAATTAAACAGCACTCTAGCTTAGTGCCGGCTCAGGGTGGAGGGGGCGGTGTTGTGCGAGCAGGATTTGTTGTCTGGGGGTGGTGGTAGCGATAAAATTTGCCGACTGGATTGGGTCTTGGTGATAAAACTGCTTGCTGACTAATTACACTGCTGCTGAATAGCAGAGGAACAGATTTCCCGGACATTGGGAAGACTCCGGGAAAGTCCGGGAGAGGTGGAGTACTGAGCATAGCCGACTCAGCGTGGCCTCCGTCTTGTGCAGATGATCTTCTTCTGTCCACAGGCAGCTTAGTGAGGGCGGCGTCTCTGCCATCCTTACCCGCGAGCGCGAGCAAGTCGCCGTCGCTCCACGATGTCCCTGAAAAGCCCGAGGCCGCCGCGGTAGAGGGAAGCCACGAGTCGCCTGAAAGTGACTCCTCTGGAGAGCCAGGGGAGGAGACGGAGGAGGAGAAGGCGAGGCGCCTCCTCTATTGCTCCCTCTGCAAGGTGGCTGTCAACTCCGCATCGCAGCTGGAAGCCCACAACGTCGGTGAGGAGGCTCGCGATCTCCGTCCTGACGCCAGGCCCAGTCTCTTACGAAAATGAAGGCTAATAACACACCAAAACTCTTCAGACTGCTCAGAATCCTTCAATGTTTTCCCTCTCAGGTGCAATAAATCTGAACTCTATTACACACCACATGAACACATTGTCAAAAGCAGATGGTGTCATATATTGATATAATTTAATAGCTGTTGTTAATGGCTGCCTTCCATGGTCAGGTGCCAAGCACAAAACGATGCTCGAAGCCAGGACTGGAAACGGAACCATTAAGTCTTTCCCGAGGCCAGGGGTCAAGGGCAAAGTGAGCCAGGCCACCAAAGCATGGACAGGCCTGCAGAACAGAATGTTCCACTGTGAGACGTGTGACGTGCACGTGAACTCAGAAACGCAGCTCAAACAGGTGACTAGAGTTCATTCTGTGTAGGGGGGGGGCACTGAATCCCATACAACAGTCAATATTTTGCTTGGCTTACCCTGCTGGTTTAAATCAAATCTCCTTCCTAGATGTTTTTGTATTCCATCAATATGTCTATTTATGAAATTCTACAGGATGTACAATAATGGATATACAACTATCTGTACTATTTGTATGTATTCGTAATATAAGAATTGCAATATGAATTTCATAACTTATGAACAAGGTTCATGGGAGTTATACTTGTTTACTTATTCTGAGGGCAGAATGAAAAATTATTGGTGCAGGGAGATAACCAATCAGATTGTAGAGGAGGTGAGTCTGTGCAACTAGAGGATGCGAGACCAACCAATCAGATGTCTTGGTCCCACATCCTCTATTTACTTGGACCCACCTCCTCTACAATCTGATTGGATATCTCCCTGAACCAATCATTTGTTCTGCCCTCAGATCAGTTCTGCATAAGTAAAGCTCACATGAACATGAAGAGGGTGACTTTTGTGATTCAGCTTAGATTCTGTTTCTTCTCCAGCATATCAGCAGCAGACGACACAAAGACAGAGCAGCAGGCAAACCTCCCAAACCAAAGTACAATCCCTACAGCAAAGCACAGAAAGGCCAGAGCGTGAGTCCTCCTGCATGCCATCACCGCCACCATGACACGTGACCTATCAGCGCTCCTCTTATTATCATTATTGGGCGCCATGTTCCTCTTTTAATTTACACCTTTTCAATCATTGTGGCCTTCTATGATGCTCTGGCTCTTCTTGTAATATGTCGGAAATCAAATAGCTTTAGTCTGGTCATTAGGAATTTGAGTGAAAATTCGGGAGCTGCACAACAGTATGTAAATATTACGAACTACAGTAAAACATTCCCTTCATCTACACAGAGATGACTTCTCTCTTTTGATTAAGGTATAATATTGCCTTCAATGACATAAATCTGGGATGGACATAATCTCACTGTATATGGCACCTTACAATTTAGAATTACACTTACACTACAATTTACATCACAATTACATTACAATTCCAATTTACATTGGAATTCTAATTTACATTACAATTACAATTTACACTAGAATTCCAATTTACATTACAATTATAATTTATTTTACAAACTCTGAATCACTTGTGACAACAATGGCCTTAGACAAGCAAACTAACTTGATAATCTTAAATAGCATATGCAAGACATCCAGTGCTGTGGTCCTTTTGGCAAACTGACTGCAGTTTGGTGAAACTGTCTCTGTTTAGGTGAACTTAGGCTTGAAGAAGGGCCTGGACCAGCCTCTCCCAGCCTGCCTGTTACCAAGCCCCCTGGCACCCGTGGCCCCCCACTTCCCCCTCCGTTCAAGCCCCGCCGCCACCTTATTCCAGACACAGCCTCTCCCAGCCGCCCTGCTCCGCCCGGCCCCCGGGCCCATCCGGACAACTCCCTCTCCTGTTCTGTTTGCTCCCTACTGACTGGCCGGCTCCCACCTGCAATCGGGACTTTCCGTGATTCTGTCGCAGGGGAACATGGACCCGTTTCTGTGTGTCGTTCTCCCCCCTCTTGCTGATCCAAAGGGACCCTCCGTCGCCCTCACACCTGTGAAGTTTTCTTCCACCTGATTGCGTCTGGGACTGGGACTTCAGTTCCTGCCTTAAGGTGCACTGCAGTAAATTAAACAGAAAACCAGGGAGCTATGCAGAGTTTTTTTGGCTGTATTAATCACTAAGGAGGGCACTAAGGGGAGAGATTAGATTAGGTTGTAAGTATCAAAAAGAAACCTCGCTTTTTATAACATCAACATTGGCAGTTCTTATTACTAGAACTTACTAGAGCTCCAGATCTAGCACTAAAGACTTACAGTATAATGAAGGAAAGAGACTGAAAGAACGCATCACTGTATTGATCTCACTTTATCTCCCAAATGTAACATCAGAAATAAAAAATACTCCAAATAAGGTAACACTGTCCAACAATGAACTCATCGTTAAAAGTCTTGTTGAGTCCGCATTAACACTGAGATGACTGTAAAAACTGAAATTAAGATTATCCATAATCTGCATTATTGCCTTGACCAATTTAACAAAAATTGATTAAGCCTCTGATGATATATAAGAAATAATTGAACTGTCTGTTTTTAGCACTTTCAAGCACAGTCACCTAGTATTGGTTGGTTAGTTACATTCTTCTAACTGCATTATACGAACAAGGATGGCCCTCTGTGCTCCTTAACCTTCACCCCCCAACCCCAACACTATGCACCACCTAACTTCATGGGTTCATTTTTTCCACTACCGGGGAAGTGGACATATTTCTCTTATACTAATACCATTCCGCACAAGTTTGTTTCAAGTGTATGATGAAGCCCAAATGCAATTTCCAAAATCCATCCAAGGTAAATTCACAGCCAGCAACAGAACTGTCTTGCGTCGTAACGCAAATTCAAGTCAGATTTGCAGTGTAAGCTGTATTTAGCTGCCTTTTATGGTTCAAGTCGACCCACTTGTTTTCCAGGCTAATATGTTGTTTACAGTCCAGATGTGGCCCAAGGTTATACTAAGTATAGTTATTATGCTAGTGTAAGTGTCCCGCGCACACACACACACACACACACACACACACAGTACAGTGCTGTGCAAAGAGTCAGCAGCACGTGGACTGGATCTGCACGCTTGCTGTGAAAAAGACCAAATGAGGCCAATCGAGGGTCAAACAGAGCACAGTACATTTTAAGCAGAGCCTGCTGCATTCATACGATGCTGTCAGTTTCCAGTTAGTTGGGTTTCCTTGGTACTTAGACCAGCTGACTTTTAGGTAAAGCAAAAGTCCACAGCCACAGCTAGTATGAATGCTGCAGATGGACATTATTGTAATAGTCTTACTGTAAATAATCTATATCTGCATAACAATGTACGTCCATCTTTTTATTTATGTTTATCCTTGTCAGGGGGTGCTGCTAATGATTTTGGGCCCCATGGAAGCACATCATATTGGGTCCCCAACGCAGACCAGTCCAAACAAGTTCCAGTTTAACTTTACCCGCCTTCACCGTACCCCGTGTGCACGAAAATGCCGTCGGATCCTGTTTTCATTGATGCCCCAGGTGTTATAACATTATATATACATTTTACATATAACAACAGAATCATGGATATGCTTTCAAAGTTGTGTAATGTTTTAATGTTATCTTTTAGTTGATTCCAATCATGAAGCCAATTTAAAAGTGGAATTCTTTCGTTTTTTATGACTTGAGATGTTATCGACAATTACTTTCTGTCATTTTCTGTCACTTGCTGCTGTTTCTTACCCATTCGGCCCATTATGGAAATGCAGTGACTTAAGTGATATCAGATTGTTATCGCTGAATCATACCCGATCCACTGCGTGCAAGACTAAGACTTTCCAGCAGTACAGGGAAATTGGCAATGTGACATGCAGGATATTCAGAGGCACGACGGAAATGTTATTATTTGAGGTGCATGAGTCTAGTAGCGCGAGATTGTGTGGTTCCTGTGAGACCCGCAACGTTAGTGCCATGATTTCCAGGCAGAGCTGGAAGTACTGATTTTGGATCCGCAGAGGGCAGTTACACTCATACAACCGGCCCCCCTCCCCCCCACTTTTGTTCACCTGTTCTACTATCTCTCCTTTCAGTTTGTGTTGTTTCAGCTTGCAACTAATCTTAAATTTCCTGACATATGAAATGTGTGTCCCGAAAGTCAGTGTGGTTAATTCATATCTCTGTTGTTATTCCAAAACCAATATAGCCTGCAGTTACTGGAGAAAATTAAATTGTTTTGGGCGCCCTCATCAGTCCTTCTTGGTCTGATTAATTCGGAGAAAGAATCTTGAACATTGTGAGATGTCTTGAATTACAGTTCAGGGGAAGTTTAATCATTTTCACATGCGGTGATGAAATTGTACAAGTTGCCATGACACCTATCTTCCTCTACCTCTACAGACAGTTGATTTTCAATGTAAATTTAAAGGAAAGGAAAAAACTTTATCTGATTAAATCACTCTTTGAGCTTCAGAACGAATATTTTGTTCTTCGTTCCCCAAAAGACTCATTCAAACACAATCTTGAGTTTGCATCCCCCATGTTAGCCGCCTACATCTTATCCAACTAGTACTCGGGCTCAGCAGTTATTGTCTCCTTATTTATTTTTTGGTCATGCCTAGAATATGACTGCAACACTTCAATACAGATATAAAAAACAGGCTGTCAGTTCAGTGGCGAATACAATAATGATGGGAAAAATGTCTAGCGGCAAAAACAGGAGCCAGTGTTTTGATCTGGAAGAAAAAGTCCGTGTTAGAATTGTCTGCACATGTACCCTCTTATAAGGCAGCAATGTAATGAGTTCTGACTGTTCAGGAACGGTTTGAGGAACATGAACGTTGACTTGGCCCCCAAAGTCCCCAGATCTCAATCTAATCAGGCATCTGCAGCATCTGCTGGACAAACAAAGAAAGTCCGATCCATGGAGGCCCAACCTCACAACTTTCAGGACTTAAAGGATCTGCTGCTAAAGTCTTGGTGCCTGATACCACAGGACACCTTCAGAGGTCATGTGGAGTCCATGCCTAGACGGGCCAGAGCTGTTTTGGCAGCATGGGGGGGGGGGGGGCTACAGAATATTAGGCAGGTGGTCTTAATGTTATGGCTGATCGGTGTATACAGCTATAGTCAGATAGACTCGTAATTCCACATTTAGGTTTACCATCTACAAATATCACTCATATCCTCTTCTGTAGACAATTAAACAGTGTTGTGAATTGCTGTCATTTACTTTCTGCTGTGATCAGCTCACCTGCACCCATGATTCAAACTTTATAGCTGTTTCCATGATGTTTCCAATGTTGACAAAAATGAGAGTATAGAGATAATACTGCCACAGCCAGTTCCTCTCTTTCAACCAATCAGTTTGCTGTAAGATACGCCAGACTGGCCACAGTAATAATCCACCATCTGCTCACATACTGTAGATAATATAATGTCACATACTGTAGATAATATAAACATAATCTTCCTTGTTTCTTTTTTCCACAAACAACGTGAGCAATACTGGATTAATTAAAGGTCCCAGTTAGCAGATTCTTTTTAATAAAAGGCACTGTTATTTAGAGACACTGATCCACAGATTGCAAAGGGTAAAGCAGAGTATCAGGAATAAATAAATACAGAATGAGCAGACATACAGAGCCAGGAGAGAACCTGAACGCAGAACCTGGGAGGTCAAAGGTCATTGCAGTATCCACCCTACTAAAGCCTGGCTTCACCCTTAATCTCACATGCTGTGTGACTTATATGTGTGAAAGAACCAATTTTTCTTTTTTTTTCCAAGTAGCACTTGACTTTTACAGCCAAAATACCTGTCATGAAAGAAATAATATTTTATGTCACAGATGTGGTTTTTTTTTGGGTGGTGAAATGACATTTTTAAGACATTTTTAACTCAGAGTTATAGCCTGGCATGTGACATTTACAAGGCAAAAGACAAAATATATTCACAATAAATTTATAGGTCAACTTTATAGTGATTTCCAACTCATGATATTTTCAAAGGCTACATTATCCATGCTGAGAAAACATTCCAGTTCTCTTTTTCAATAAATAATAACTCTATTTGAATTTGGGAATTGGGAATCGTATGAATACTCCATAATTACGCTCACCGGCCACTTTATTAGGTACACCTGTTAAACTGCTTGTAGAAGCAGATACATAATCGGCCAGCCATATATTAGCAGCACAATGTATAAAATCATGCAGATACAGGTCAGAAACTTCAGTTTATATTCATTTCAAGCACCAGAATGGGGAAGAAAGGTGATCTAAGTGACTTTGAACACGGCATGGTTGTTGGTGCCAGACAGGCTGGTACGAGTATTTCAGAAACTGCTGATCTGCAGGGATTTTCACACACAACCATCTCTAGGGTTTACAGATAATAGGCTGAAAAAACATTCAGTGAGTGCCAACTCTCTGGGTGAAAATACCTTGTTGATGGCAGAGGTCGGAGAAGAATGGCCAGGCTGGTTCAAGCTGATAGAAAGACAAAAGTAACTGAAATAACCACTCATTACAGCCAAGGTATGCAGAAAAACATCTCTGAACACACAACATGACAAACCCTAAAGCAGACGGGCTATAGCAGCAGAAGACCACAGCGGATGCCGCTCCTGTCAGCTAAGAACAGGGCACTGAGGCTACAGTGGGCACAGACTCATCAAAACTGGACAAAGCAAGATTGGAAAAACGTCATCTGGTCACATGACTCATTTCCTGCTGCAGCGTTCAGGTGGTAGGGTAAGAATTTGGCATAAACAGCATGAAAGCATGGATCCATCCTGCCTTGTATCAGCAATTCAGGCTGCTGGTGGTGTAATGGTGTGGGGGGTATTTTCTTGGCACATTTTGGGCCCCTTAGTACCAACTGAGCATCGTTTTAATGCCACACCCTTCCTGGGTACTGCCACTGACCATCTCCATCCCACTATGGCCACAGTGCACCCAGCTTCTAATGGCTACTTCCAGCAGGATAACGCACCAGGCCACAAAGCTCACATCATGTCATACTGGTTTACTGAACATGACAACGAGTTCCCTGTACTCAAATGGTCTCCACAGTCACCAGATCTCAATCCAATAGAGCAGCCGTGGGATGTGGTGGACGGGAGATTCGCAGCATGAAGGTGCAGCTGACAAATCTGCAGCAGTTGCGTGATGCTATCATGTGAACATGGACCAGAGTCTCTGCGGAAAGCTGCAAGCACCTTATCGATTCTATGCCACAAAGAATTAAGGCAGTTCTAAAGGCAAAAGAGGGCCCAACGCAGCACTAGCAATGTGTATCTAATAAATGGCCAAGAGTGTGTATACAGGATGTAAAGCTGGTGTGTATCTATGGCGCGTAACCATAACATCTCCATAACCTCTCAGAAATGCACACTCATCTTTATGTAGATGTATTAATTAAAATTTTATTTTATTTTTTTTTACACCGAGCTCATTAACAGCACGACAGGACATTTTCAGTGGTACTGGGTACGACAGTGGGCAGCACTGTTACGTCACGCTGCCGCTTGGCTGGCATGCCTGCAGTCTGCATGTTCTCCCTGTCGCACATGATTCCTCTGGGCACTGCGGTGTCCTCCCGCTCCCCGGAGATATACAGTTAGGCTAATAGCTGTCTATGTACTGCCTGCAGTGTGTGCCGCACTGGCATGCTCCAGTGACCCCCCCGTTACCGACCCCTGGATAAGCAGCTAAAAGATGATTAAATAGTTTCAGATGTATAATTTTCGCTTTATATTTCTTAGGCAAAATTGCCATTATATTCTGCACTGAATATTTACGTTGTATGGTATACTATATAAAAGCAGTGAGTTACTCCCTTGGGAATACTCCAAAGAGCTGGGGAAAATCACCAGGTTACTCCCTTGGGAATACTCCATACAGCCGGAGCAATTCACTGGGTTACTCCTTTTGGAGTACTCCATACAGCTGGGACAAATCACCGGGTTACTCCCTTGGGAAAACTCCATACTGGGGTGCCTGAACTGGCAAACCTTTACATTCCCATTTTAGGAAATCTACTTATGCTGAACATGAAATACGTGATTACAGGGGGAAAAGAGCCATACTAATGTAGCACAAATAAATGTACCCGAAAGATCGAGGATGCATTAACACGCCATGATGTATTTCGAAATCACCACACCATTATCGATGGATGTTTAGGTCATTACGTTTATGTTTGACTGACAGCTTGTAGATGATGAGTGAATGGTAAGAGTGTTAAGGTGAAAGCAGCAGGTAATTGCGAAGGATTTGATGGGTGTTTTTCTGTATTTTTCCAATTATTCATTGTATGTTCATTAATGAGAAAATGACACCAATCATTCCTTTATAGCCAGACAAATGTAGTGATGATAGATTATGTATGTTACCTATTTTCTACTAAAATACATACATCGACAGCTACTTTAATAGCATCCAGTTTTGAATAAAATTAGTTAAGGCAGGATGTTTTTATGTGACATGCTACTTTAAATATGCCAAAGTACACTTCACTTTCAGTTACAAATAATAAGTATTTATCATTGTACTGTAAGTGCTGACATAAGTGAATCAAAATGGACTTAAAAATCTTGATATAAATGACTATGCAAATAATAAAAGAGAAAACTGAAATTCCAAAAAAATGCTGTTTCCTTAATGAAAAAGAAGCACATATTGCATAATTCAAGAGAAACACTAATGAAAGAAAATGCTTAGCAGAAAAAAACCATGGAACCTCCCGGAAAACTGAACGAATGCCATTGCAACTACAGCACATTGCATGTTGGCCTGTTCACATTAATGTGCAGTAGTTTAAAAGCCCAGCCACAATGTTCACATAAAACAGAGGCCGTGTCCTTTTATGGAACACCTGAGCCGGTTCTGGAGTTATTAAGTGTGAAGCCAGCTTATACTTAATGGCCTTTGCTAGGCAGTGAACTTGGCAGGTTCTACGCCTGCCAAAATCACCAATTCCGTGATGAAGGAGCACTCTGTGCTCACACAAATGAAGACACACACAGGTTGGTTAAAAAGAAAATAAAAAACATCAGCTGTTCCTAACATCTCTCCTCAACCCCGCCTTCCACTAGTAAGGCATCCTAAACAGGGTGACAGATCTGTGCAGCCTAGGCCACCACCTTCTGTGGGGTTCTCCCCCCTCCCTTGCTAACCCTCCCCCCAGCACGGATGCCTGCCTTCCGAACGTGACACTCCACCCTTCCCTTAAATCAACTCCAAGTCAAAGTATGGTAGTAGAGTTAAACACAAGTTCTCCTACAATCTAGTAACCAAAATCACTGAGTTTAAAAGTTCTACCTACTAAAAATTGTGTTTTGGAATAGTGAAAAAAAAATATATTGGCTTTCGGGTGTGATGCTGAAATCGCATTACACTTATCAGCCTGAAAACCATGAAAGTATGAAGCATGAAACGGTTTTCTACGGTCGTGGAAGCAACTTAAACATGGATGGT